AAAGTGTTAAGTTACTATATTTGGAATTTTGAAGAATATAACATTTACATAAACAAACTAATTTCATAATTGACTTTTAGAAAATAATATTCAAACTAATTGCTTGGTAATCATTAGATGATGATAGAAATACTTTGTATAGGTGATGACCAAATGCAAAACCGCAACACCTGAAGCGTTTTGTTTCGGAATTGTAGATTCGCTTCTGGCAATAATACTCCATTTATTACATTTATTTTTTTTATTTTCGGTTCATAACTGTTGCGATGCAAATGAATCGGTTTTTGTTGCATTCCTCGACGGACGTGTTGTTATTAATAGATGGTGGAATACAGTAAGTTGCGGTTCTGCGCGGCTTTAAATGCCTCCTGATTGATTATTATCGGAATTTCTGTTTGTACTATAACAATAATTCCTTCGAGAACTTTTTTATTTTATAATTTCATTTGATTCAAGCATCTTTTTTTTATATAAGAATTTCAAGAGTTTCAATGTAACGGATAGTTATTGTGTTGCGTAATTTGTTTGACGATTGATTGCTTTATTCAACGTTTGTTTTTTGATCTGTTTATTGGTACTTTCTTAAAGGAAAAAAAAGTTTGAAATTTGATTAGCTAAAGTTTCAATAATATAAATGATTTATGTAATTGCTTTGTCCAAACCATGTTTTCCCCAACTATTCCTTGAACGTAACAATTCGTAAACAACACATAATGTACAAAATTAAAAAAAAAATGATAAAAACATTAATTATTTCTTTAGTCATTATTATTTCATTGCAGGTTTTCAAGAAAAACCTATTAACTTTCCGCGGATCACCAGATTTCCGCGTAACATAGTTTGAGAAACTCTGATCTAAACAATAATTTAGTTATTATTATAATATCCGCGTATAATAGTTTGAGAAACTCTGATCTAACAATTATTAATATAGGTTGTGCGATATTTGATTTTTTTCTTCTGTTTTTCGTAATTTCTTATAGGGAAAAGAAAGTTTGAAATTTGATTAGCTGAAGTTTAATTACGTGATTTTTCAGTGATATAATTGATTTATGTAATTGTACGAAATATTATATACTTTGTGCAATGTTCTGTACTTTTTGTACTTTCTTAAAACGAAAAGAATGTTGTAAATTTGATTAGCTAAAGTTTCAATAATATAAGTGATTTAACTTCTGCTTTTTGTGATTTCTTCTAGGGAGAAAAAAGATTGAATTTTGTTTAGTTAAAGTTTAATTAGTTTTATTTGTACAAACAATGATGTAAGTTGTGTCATGTTTTATTATTTTTTTTGTTAAATTTCTTAAAGGGAGAAGGGAGAGTTTGAGAAGCACGGCCACCAGACAGACGCAATAATTCGAATGAAATTGGCTTAAACACCGGTTTGTGTGTGGGGCCGAAACTGTCTGTCACAAGAAAGAAACCCGGCGGTTTCCATCCAACAATGTTGAGTTCTCACCGGGCCGGGTCTAAGGTCATCCAGGCGCTCACGACGAGTCCGCCCCTCGCACACGCACTAGAGACCTCATCCTCTTCATCCTCCTCAACTACACCTCCCACATATTATAAAACACATACATATATCCATACCCGACGTATATATACGCTTAATTATTACTTGCCGATTTCGAATATGTAAAATGAATCTGACCGAAGACATCGATGAAGAAAGTGGAGAGGTGAAGCGATTTTTATCGCGACCCGAAAATTTACGCACGGCCGTTGAGATGATAAAGAGAAAGAAAGAGAGAAGGGTTTAACCTCCCCATTAGCATCCAGCTCTTATTTAAAGCCTCGTAAATATCGCACTTGCGGACGCACTAATTAATCTTCGACTTTATTATATTCGAGATCACTATCGTTTGCCATCTCATATATGCACATGCATACCTTTTCACACTCATTTATAAGGCGCATTCCAGATCGTAAATAAACGCCACCATCGCCATCAGTCCGAGCAACTCCAAGAAGATGCTACAAATTCTTCTATACACGCTTCTCTAATTGGGATCAACAGAAAACCGCTCCAGGTTCACTACTTTTCCAGCGTATTGTCAATGGACCTATATTGAAATCCTGACAACCAAAATCAAATTCCGACATTCAAAAAATCTCGACATTATCAAGGACAGTATCCAAATTTCGAATATTTTAGCGAAACAACGATTTTTAAGAAAATCCTATTGACTTTTTTTCCAATTTCTACGACTCGACGACAGCACGAAGATGCCAATAGTTTCGTTGGAAAGGTGAGATATTGAGCTTTAAATTGTGTGGTCGATGATGTAATTATCTCGCCAAATTGGATTAAGAATGAATTTAAAATTTTTAATTTTGATAACTTATAGTAGATGTACTTACCAAACCGACAGTTGTAGTTTTCTCTTTCATTTGCATATTTGATGGTTTATTTTAGCAAATTGAAAAAATAGTTAAATAAATGGTTATATTCATATATATATTAGAAAATTTTAATTTACTGTTTTAAAGAATAATTCTTTCGCTTTCGTTTGCTATAAAATACATTAGTTTTAGTCAATTAATAAGAAAGTTATTAAGCTTTAATGAGTTGGCGGTTTTCGCGAATCACAAGCTTGATTCTCGAATATATAAAATTTCGATTTGCATCAGGAAACCATGAGTAGCGAGGAGTCATTTTGACAGCTGTTACAGTCGCAAGTTAAATTTAAAGGTTTTAATTGGATTTCCTGATTATTCTACATTGTTCTGAATGAAAACTTAATGAACAACATGCTCCATTGCTTCCTTCTTCTATTTCCTTGTATGGAAAACGTTTCTCTGAACTTCACATTTCAATTCGGACAAGAACCAATGGAACATGTAAACAACCATCGATCACTAAAGTTCTTTGTCTTCAGAAAAGATACAACAGAAACTGCAGCTTACTAGGGACAATCCTTAAAATCTTTTTTAACTGAACCAGTGTCTTCATATAAGAATGTGCATAAATCGTTAACAAACATAAGATAAATAGTAATGTTGTAAACAATCATTGGTATAATTGTTATTATTTTAGGTGGAGATGATAGCAACATGCCTCGAATGTATAGTGGAAAGCATTCTTTACAAACAGTTTTCATTTGCAAATAGTGGAAACCTTAACTGCTGAAATGGACCAAAAATATTACTTCATTAAGAAGATGAATAACAACTATGAGCCTTGTAGCACCCATGATTTTATTGTTGCTTCCTACATAATCCTTAGAGACTGGATAACATTTCTGAATGCCAGATGCATTGAAAATACTGGAATAACTATCAAATTATATTTTAATCTCTGTATATTTCAGATCAACATTAATGTTCAACATTCTTGTAGAAACAAGTGCTTACGAAAATAAAGGCCATTTTCGAAAACGTTGTTTTCCAAACTGTCTAGTACCAAAGTTTGATAATTAATTGTGACCAAGCATTGGTAGATACAAACCTGCATTTACACTCATTTTAATCTCTGTATATTTAAGATCAACATTAATATCCAAAATTCTTTCGAGAGTTGGTGTATACGAAAATAAAGGCCATTTTCGAAGACGTTATTTTCCCAACACATTTGTGAAATACAAAAGTTTGTTAATCAATTATGAAGACACCTTTGCAGCTACAAATTAATATTTACGATAATTATTATGATAATTTAAATGATAATTAGTTTTCGAGTTATATGCTTTTTAATGAAGACAAGCATTTTCAGGAAATATTCAGTATGTGTATGTGCAACCAAACATACATATAAACTTTGATTAAAAAGTAGGATATTGTGTTAAATGATCTAAATTTTTATGAAAACTCACTCCTAGAAGAATTTTGAATCATCGACCATTGATCTCTGAACTAGATCAATATTTATATTGCGTTTTGATTTGCAAAAACCACCAACGCATTAAAGCGTAATAACTTTCTTATTAATTGACCAAAACTAACGTAGTTTATAGCAATATAGTAAATTAAAATTTTCTAATATATATGAATATAAGCATTTAACTATTTTTTCAATTTGCTACAATACCTTCATGTTTTTTTAATTAATCGATTACCACTAGTGTTCATTAAATCATCGAATACAGAAATTAAAGAGAAAACTACAACCTTTCCAATGAGCTAACTTCAGACAACGTGGTTTGGTCAGTACATCTACTATAAGTTATCAAAATAAAGCAAGTTATATTTTGAATGATTGTCCATGTAATCCAAACGTGAAAGTCTTTGTTGTGAGCAAAGTTAACATTTCATTTTTCAATCAAAGATCAGTTTAACATCTTTAAACCATTCACTGGCATTACATTAAACTTTGAGTGCGTCTTATAGTGCGGTATATCTTAACAGTCAGTATTGACAACTAAATACATATTCACAACTACAATTGGATAATTTAACAATTATTTACACTACTTTGTAAATTGATGATAATCTCAGAAACTAATTTATTTTTGTTATTAATAGCATGAAAATAAATTCATTCAAGTTTATAAGCTTATTGCAATTAGTTAATAAAATAAAATATTTACTTTTACACCAGTTTATTATAAAAATAATTAATTATAAAATAAATAATAAAATCTTTGAAAAAAAAATCAACAACGCTATAGATATTTATAATAATTATGTACATAATAAGTTTTAAAACGTTATCATTAAATTTCACATTAAAGAAGGAAACAATTCAGAGACGCACAAATCGACGCTACTGGAACCAAAAGATTCGTATCCACAATCGGAGGAATCCGAATTGAAATTGGAACCGTCGCTGGGCGTCAAAGGCTGAAGATCACTACACCTATCCTCGCTCTGTAAATAAATGTGATCATTTGTGATCGAATAGCATTCGGTCTGAACAACTGTATCCTCCCCGATCGCAAGATCACAATCATTGACAAGAAGCGTGATGGTGTTCGTGTCTTCGTCCAGCGTTCCGTAGATGATCTCATCCGGCAACGGTTCCGACTTCACTTCGACCTTTGGCTTTATCGTTTTCAACTTCTTCCGTCTTGTTTTTTTCGCTGAGCTTTTGGAATAATCGTGGTGTAAAAGTAAAAACTCCGAGAGATCACTGTTATTGTCCGTTTCCACTTTTACACTTCCACTGGATTCCAATTGTTCTGATGTCTGCCCCACCACTTCCTCAAACCCACACACTGCATTTGATTCCTAACGAAGAAAGAAAAAAAATATTAATTAATTGATGTTTGAGTTGATGAGAAATATTAACAAATTTAAAAGCAACTGGTGTAAATGTGAATTCGCCTATATATAAGTGCCAAATGTGTACATTATATATTCAGGTCACCTTAAGTAATTGAAGGTAAATTCAAAATCTTGGCATCTAAAAGAGAACTTTCTTTAAAGAATCTTTTTTCACTCTGCTGATGTATTCATATGTATATGTAAGTTAAGGTTGCTATATAGTAAAGTGTTTAATTACTTTAGAATCTGTTTCTTGAGCAGCTGTCTCCAGGTCTCTGGCAATGTCTTCGAGGAGACTCTGTGTGAGGTCACCCAAGGAGGCGAAATCGACGTCACGGGTGATCTCGTCGAGGAGGTCTGGTAGAGAAGGTAGGCCATCACAATTTTCAAGAGGACTGGCAGGGTTTGTGCACTCAAAGTCGCTGCTGAGTGTCTGTTCAGACCTTGCGGCAGAAGGTTGGATACAGTAGACCCAATCTGAACACCACACTCAACAGAACGACTTTGAGAACAAACCTGGCACGGTTCCCTCAACTTCTGTGTCAGCTCCTTGTTCTCCCTAACCAATTTCTCGTTAATCCTTTTCAGCTTCTCCAACTCAGACAATATTGTATCATTCTGAACAACCAGATTGTTGACAGTTGTCTCCATCTGGTCCATTTTTGCTTTCTTCCTATCCCTGGACGTTTGTGCTGCCACCCTGTTCTTAAGTTTCCTACAAATATCGATTTTAGTTTTTAATAAATTACATATGTTTAAATATTTATACTCACTTTCTCTGCAACTTTTCCTCCCATGACAAATGATCCAGACGCCTCTTCTTAGCCCTTACAGGCATAACGTAATCCTGGCTATCCTCCAGCATAATGTAACTGCTTGTATCCGAAATATGATCCATGATGATTTAAGTAATGTGATGTTTATAAACAATCTAATTCACTGTCCGGTGATGTTGCCTTGACCACAGCATTTCGTGCTACTTGTCGCGATGAATGAACTGCATCAAGAAGTCTGCTGAAGTCTTATTTATGCTTTCGCATGATGCAATATGGTTAGTCACCAATATTTTGGATTGCTTTCGATGCCTCAATCTTGAACAATGGTTCGCAAGTGCCATGTACACAGTAAATAAGGAATATGTGGCGCGTTTTCATTGGATGCGCATACAAGTTTATCCGTAAAAACCATTTACGTCACGGCCGGCCGGGAAATTTAAGCTTTTTTAAACGCTCAATATCTGACGCAACAGCTTATTCAATATGCGTAAAGTATTGCGCAACGTACAAATGCTGCCCGGATTCATTTCAAATTAAGAAGATAACAGCTTATAATCAACACCCATTTCAATTTTAGAGTGTTAAAGAAATGCACATATATCTTTCCTCGTTTTACACGTTACTTTCTTTACACGTTTTCAATTTACACGGTTTTTTACTACAATTTTTATACGTTTTTCTCATCGATCAACCGCGTAAATTGCGAGATTTCTGCGTCCATTCCACTCAGGAAAGAGGAGACAAATAAATTTATTTTTAATTGATATCTAATCTCAAAACCGCAACGATTGCGATAAACGTCTGCAAGTTATTTTAAACATTGATAATTAACTATTTTAATCAACAATCTGTGTGCATTTGAACTATAAATACGTTAAGGATTTAAATAAAAATACTTATTATTAGTTATTTCGATTTCATTATCATTAAGACTACTGGGCGACAAAAAAAAAATAAACAAACAAAAATAATTTACAATAAATAATAAATAGTTAAAATGAGCGAGGAAACGTTATATAACAGGTACATATATATATGAGTTTTAAAAAGAGGAACACAAAAAGAACGTTTCTTTAGTCGCATCGAACAATTTAGAGAGAAATCTTCTTGTAGCGGCCGTTCTTCATGCTGAGACCTCTCAGAGTCTTCATAGCCATTGCTTTGTTGAAATGCCGTTGCGTTTTAACGTCCGGAAATTCGGTGTCAGGTAACGTTTCCACCGTTGATAAAATGACGAGTAACACGCCTAAGACCTAAAAGAAAACGATTAAATGGTTTATGTGATTGAAACTATAGGAATCTTACGAGGCATACGATGATGATTAGGGTGTATATGTGAATGGAATCTGTGGGCAAAGATTCCATTTCTTTTAGGGCGACTTCGGCCGGTTCAAAGCCTGGTCTCAGCTCTAAAGTATGTCTGAGATGCACCGAAGCCTCTTGATAATGACCGTAAGCTTTGTAAATTTCACCTAAAGTAAAATGCTGCTGCCATGCACCTTTTTCCGGTGATTGCACCTCGAGAGATCTCCGTGTTAAGTAGATTGCATCATCCAAGTATTGTAAATTGTACAGGACTCTTGCTAAATTGAGTAACACTTCGGCGTTGTGCGGAGAAACCGCGAGAGCTCTCCGGAAACACTCGATGGATTTCTGCGCGTCCCCTTTGATTCGCCAAAAGTTACCGATCTGGTTGTACAATTGCACAGACTTCGGTTTCTGCAGCAAACAAATTACACATTGTCAATTTCGGATTAGATGAGACAGTATACAATTAAAATACTTCTTTCTTTGCCTTTTTCAGCCGCCTCTCGATTAAATCTATATCCAAATCGCCCTTGGCGTTTCTCCGGGTCTTCGAGAAGACCAGAGACGCCTGCGGCTCAGGCACAAGTGGATGCCTGTTTCTATTCAGCACACCCACCAAATTATCGTAATATGTAAAGTTCACCGGTTTCCCGCAATCCAATGTTTCATCGCCGTCCGTAATTAAGGCCCTCTGGATGGAATACTTGGACGAATTGGACACAAACTCATTCCTGAAATAAACAACTTACATTATTACACATGTATCTAAAGAAAATATACAAAAGAAATTAATTAATTACTCAAGTTGAAGTTGCAAAAATTAAGAATTAGAAATCTGTGCCTTCTACAGATATTGTTTTCCACATTATTCTCAAACAGGGTTGAAGAGATGCAGGAAATAAAATGATTAATAAAAATGTAATATTGATACATTGGAAATACTCTATTGTTTACCTGTCAGACAATGATTTGGATTGGACATTATTGCAGTCTGTGCAGTAATACTCGACAGCCTTCTTCATCCAGTTGTTGTCAACCTGGTGGATGGTTGAGGTGATGATATTGAAGATTGGATCCTCCTCAGTTACATACTGTCGACTCTGGATGCCATTCTGCACAGCAACCACTTGATGGAATGGGCTGGCCTCGATGATCTTTGTCTCATCAGAGTTGAGCTTCCAAAGGGTCGAGGTGCGGGAGTTGGCTGGGAGCACCTCGCAGCATATGAAGTAAAAAACAAGTATGCTGAAATTGGTTGGGACAGACATCATATGATGCTGTGTATTCCCAATTCGGATGTGTACGTATAGTCCGCACTTGGTAGATCGATGCACGATTGCGAGTAGCCAAGATTTACGTGTATATCACCATCATTTTAATACATTTCGCCGGAGTTATTACGTGCTACTTGTGTTATTATTTTTTTTGACGGATCTCCTTTTATTTTGGTTATAGAATTGATGCGCGCCGCCTTGGTTACTTTTACTTTTCACTGTTGCAGTCCTCTTCCACACACCACCCACACCTCATTTTGGGTAAACTTATATAATGGGGATATAGCTCAGTGGTAGAGCATTCGACTGCAGATCGAGAGGTCCCCGGTTCAAACCCGGGTGTCCCCTCAAAAACTCTTTTTGCATATTAGATATACAAAATAAATTTAACAATTATTGCAGACTTCTCATTACAAATAAAAAGAAATTATTTAAGAAATTTAAGGATTGAAATAATATAAACAGTGTAGTTATTTAAAGTTTTTACAAAACCATTTATTTGTTGGATAAATTGAAAAAGCATTACAAAATGAGGAAATGTTTATTATTACTTTTCGAGCTATGTTGTGATTTTCTTTTTATTATTTTACGTTTTTTTAACAGTGTTGTATTATATTTTTAATATTATATATATAAAGTATTCATATTTATTACGGTTATTTTCATTTTTTTTTTTTTTCGTTTTAGGCGGAATCGTGGATACCCAATCGGAATATGTCATGCTGAACAAAGAATGAATTACCTAAGGGTTTCAATACAAACACTTGTGAATATGCATGTGCTGGATCTTCGTCAGCCTGAAAAAATTCAAAAATTTCATACATTTTCATTCAAGATCAGCAGAATATTCATAAGCAGAAGAAACAAAAATAAAAGAAGATTAAAATAAACAAAATCATTCAAATTGTAAATAGAAAGTTGTAATTTAGGTAATCAGAATTAATAAACGAATCAAGTCCAAACAAATGGGTGGAAATTAAATTAAATATATTGTGTAGGAAGTATTAATAATAAAGAAGTTATTGTTTTTGGATTAAGAACTCATAAAATATGTAATAATATAAAGTAAGCGTGTGGGTTCTCATGCTTAAGAGGGCAAGCATAGTTGCTTGCTTTTAATACATACTTCACGAAGCTAAATAGTATCATGTAGAACTAGGCGGAAAGTGTCATGCTGAACAAAAAAACTTCCCTCAATAGGTTTCAGTACAAATGTTTGAACGTATGCGTGAGGTATGTCTTCGTCAGTCTATTACAACAATATTTGCTTAGTTCTACTAAATTTCATTTTCCTTTTCAATATTTATAATTGTGAAAATATAAGTATTATATATAAATGATAGTTACCTGCAACCTTCCGAGGACATTTATTAAAACACCACCATCAAACATTGGCTGGGAATCAACAGCAGTTATAACTCTATTTATCTTTTGAAACGATAGGCTCTGTAATAAGAGACAGATATTGGTTATTATTATCATCCACTGTCAAAGATTGTTATCTGTATTATTACCGTCAACTTTTCCATTATCTTAACAGAGCCCTGCAGTTGCGTGCCTTCAAAGGACATGAAGGAGCTTTCAATCTGAAATTGTTCATAGATTTTAGTTATCGACGACACTTTGTAGGAGATCCTTGTTTAAGATGTGTATGTGCGTTAGAGAGTGTGCTCAGTTTAAAATTACTTACATTGTACATATTAACTAAATTGGGCCTCTGGGCGGGATCGTCGAAGAGAGCGTAATATTGTTGGACGAACCCTTTCCCTATAGCCTCGTATTGTGGATTTAATGCCATAATTCTATTTTGATTCCTGTTCTGGGCCTTAAATAAATTCTTATTCCTATAAGAGTGACACAATTGCGATCACTTCTATCTCCTTGCCGTTCTGCTGCCTAAAATTGGTTAATGTTACCAACCGGTTCAATGCAACGGACTTTTTAGAAACGGAGCTACCAACCATCATCACCAAAAGCGGTACATTCGAATTTCAAATGGAAGCAATAAAGTTGCCTAATAATTGTCAAATATTCAAAAAAAATTAAAAAAAATAGTAATTACGTAATAGTTTGTATTGTAACGAGTTACACAATCACGTTATTCAATAATAAAATAAGAAAGAAAATGCTTTATTATAAATCTCTATCAAATCGTGTTTTTTTTAAGTACGTTTCGTACACATTCGATAATTTTCAGCACATTTAAGATCGTATCAATGTTAAACTTTTTTCAGCAACCCAATTTAAAGAGAGACGATCTCCAGTTTATAATTCTTACTGAATCCTGCGTGGTTATCCTGAAAATAAAAATGCATAGCAGATGAACAGATGACAAAATAACCAAGTTTTCCACTAATTTGCGAAAATCGGATTTCGTCGTTTCTCGGTCACGTAATGACCATTACGTAACTTTTGTTGCATAATACGTTGCGTAAGGGTTGCGCCCTTATAAAGAAACAATAGAAGTGCGCGAAAGTTATGTAACTTTCGAGAAATTAATAAAAAAAAAGCGGGAAAACTATTGTACATTTGTCCCATAGTGTGTGCAACTGAATATACACTGGTGTGTGTTTGGTTGCCTGTATCAGATAAATTATGAAAAAGCGGTAGTTTTCAGAACGTTTCAAACCCAAAATATCGATGCTAGAGTCATTTCAGAGGACTCATTAGAAAGGTGGCAGCCTCATTTGAACAGTCCTTGTTTAATTACGTAACTATGTTACGTAGTTATCCTGAAAAAAAAGTGAAGAAGGCGCATTTCAGCAATGAATCATTTTATAGTTCGTAAAAATGGATGATGGATGGATGTATGATAGCAGAAAGCTACCAATGGGCTCTTTCAAAAGATGAGATTTTCATCTTTGATTCGAGTATAAGATGATATAATTAACTTTAGGAGTTGTCATGAAAAATCATAGACATAGAAAATCGTCGTTTCTCGGTTACGTAATCAACATTAAGTAACTTTTCTTGCATAGTACGTTGCGTAACAGTTGCGCCCTTCTTACTCAACAATAACGAAAGTTGCATGACTTTCGAGAAATTAATAAAAAGAAGCAGGTTCATTTGAAAAATGACGGTGTCCAATTTACGATTCTTACTAAATTATGTAATTATCCTGCGTGACTTGAAGATGATTCTTATCGACACTTTTGGCAGCATGCAACAGATGATAGCAGAAAGATGTCAGACGGTTCATTGATGATCTAATTTGAAATTAACAAAGTGAAGACATCAAAAAATCGTTGATAATGTTCTATTATTAACGTAAAATTAACTGAATTGTAATAATAATTTATATATATACATCTTTTATTTTCATACAGAAATGAAATACAGTACATTAAAATAACTATTTCACTCTATCAATCCTCAAGTTGCAGTGCTAAACCAGAAATCATGCAGGCACCAAATATGATTCCAATGATCTAAACAAAACAAAAAAAAAGAATTAATAAATCTAAGTTTTACAAATATCTGGACAAAAGATCTTACATTGATTATAGCGCAGCACGCGTCGATCGTAATGAAAACGGTCGTGATATCTTTGAACCAATTCATAAAAGCATCTTTGCATCCTATTGAGAACAAGTACTTCTTTGATCCAAGTTTCGTACAGTAATCACTGATTGTATCTGGTGTATCGGAGGAATCGGTGCAGCAACTTGCTGGGATTGCATGCGCCCAATCCGAAGGACCTTTCACCCCACAGCATTTCAACTACAATTTAATTAAGTAAATTATTTTTGTTACTGATAAATTGTAAATAAAATTAAGATGCTTTAACCCTTGAAAGGGCCAGAAATTCTTAAATTTCCAACCAAGTTAAAGGGTAGTTCTTCTTTCCTGTAGATTTTCTAGAAAATTATAATAATGACCCAGTGACATGTTCAAAAGGTGGTAAAATGCGCCCCTTACAGAGTTAAATACATTAGAACTTACTTCGCTTTGCAAAGAATCCCAGATAAGTTTAGAGACGTTACTTTCGTAGTAAGTTTTCAAAGTTGGATAGAAACTATCCTCATTTATTGACGTTACTAATATTATAGTGAATATTGCTACCACTATTTGGGCGATCAATATTAACGATAAGAATATGACGAACTGAAAAAGAAGTAAAAATTTATTTGTTTTTATTATTTTTGCATTGCTTCGATTCGCTTCTTACGGTCATGAGACAGCAGTATGATTCCATTAAAGCTCCGTACGCTCCGAAGAAGGCTACGATAAACATCACACCGCCAATAATCGCGCACGCAAGGAATTCCAAAATAAAGTGATCTGTTTTCGGGCCCGTTCCGTACGTTGCCAAGAAATACACACCGAAGATGAAACATGTTAATCCGATGAGCTGAAATAATACTAAATTTACAGAGACAACAACAAAAAAATGACAAATACAGTGGAACCTCGCTTAAAGAGTTTAATCTGTTCCAAAATTTTCGGATTTTTACTCATATAGTGAAACATATTGAAAAATACACATAATATGTGTATTTTAGGGACTTCCACAATCCGGGACTTCTCTTCTCATCGTCACTCGTTATGCGAAACGTCGCTCGTTAAGCGAGTCATTTTTCTTACAATTAATTTTGCTCGTTAAGCGAAATGCTCGTTATGCGAGGTTATTCTGCACATTCAATTTCCTTTAGACCTATTGGGATAATATGACCCAATTACAAATCCTAATTACAAACATCTATCTAGGACAATAGATCCCATTATGTCCCAACAGACATCTATTTTTTAATTTTCGATATTATTTTTAATAATTTCTATTTTGTTCCTAAAAAAATCGGGGTTAATTGTATTTCAATCATAAAATTTATTAGTCCTTTTGCCCAAATTAGAGCAATATAAATAAATATATTACTTATTTTCTTTATGATCATCATTTCTTATATGGAATAATAAATGGACAAGAAAGTGGATTTGTCGATGATGATGATTTTTGATTTTGTTGTTGTTGTTGTAGTGTGCTTGATAACAAAAAAAACAACAAATATAGTGGAACCTCGCTTAACGAGTTTAATCCGTTCCAAAATATACGGATTTTTACTCGTATAGTGAAACATATTGAAAAAAACACATAATATATGTTTTGCGTTATGCAAAACGTCGCTCTTTAAGCGAGTCATTTTTCTTACAATTAATTTTGCTTGTTAAACGAAATGCTCGTTATGCGAGGTTCTTCTGTACATGCAATTTCCTTTAACCCTATTGGGACAAGATGTCCCAATTACAATTCCCTATTACAATGGGACATCTATCTCGGACAATAGATCCCATTATGTCCCAATAGACATCTATTTTTTAATTTTCGCTATTATTTTTAATAATTTCTATTTTGTTCCTAAAAAAATCGGGGTTAATTGTATTTCAATCATAAAAATTATTCGCCCAAATTAGAGCAATATAAATAAATATATTACTTATTTTCTTTATAATCATCATTTCTTATATGGAATAATAAATGGACAGGAAAGTGGATTTGTCGATGATGATGATTTTTGTTTTTGTTGTTGTTGTTGTAGTGTGCTTGATAACAAAAAAACAACAAATACAGTGGAACCTCGCTTAACGAGTTTAATCCGTTCCAAAATTTCCGGATTTTTACTCGTATAGTGAAACATATTGAAAAATACACATAATATATGTTTTTCCGGGACTTCTCTTCTCATCGTCACTCGTTATGCGAAACGTCGCTCGTTAAGCAAGTCATTTTTCTTACAATTCATTTTGCTCGTTAAGTGAAATGCTCGTTATGCGAGGATCCACTGTACATGCAATTTCCTTTAACCCTATTGGGACAAGATGTCCCAATTACAATTCCCAATTACAATGGGACATTTATCTGGGACAATAGATCCCATTATGTCCCAACAGACATCCATTTTTTAATTTTCGATATTATTTTTAATAATTTCTATTTTGTTCCTAAAAAAATCGGGGTTAATTGTATTTCAATCATAAAATTTATTAGTCCTTTTGCCCAAATTAGAGCAATATAAATAAATATATTACTTATTTTCTATATGATCATATATGGAATAATAAATGGACAGGAAAGTGGATTTGTCTATGATGATGATTTTTGTTTTTGTTGTTGTTGTTGTAGTGTGCTTGATAATTGGCTGCTATTATCGGTCGAAAGAATTGATGTGCTGGTGTTGTTACGTGCGTTTCAGAAGGTCAGAAACGTATTAAAGCTATTTCAGTACAGCTTTTTTATCGTATTATTATTTTTGATTTATGTGAATTAAATTGCGCATTATCCACTTGTCTGATTTTATTATTAGAAACTTAATAAACAAATTCCAGATCATGATAATGCGAAAATGAATAATGAAGATTATCCGCAATTATTATGAGAAACAGGTATAAAACTAAGAAAATGAAAATAATTATTTCAGTTAAATTTTATTAAAATGTAAGCGTTATAAAGATTTGAAAAATAAGATTTATTCCATTTTTTTTATAATAATATATAATAAAGTTTGAAAACTAAGCAATTTAAAATAATTATTTTTAGTTGTAATTTATTAAATGATCTCAAGATCTTTTTTTTGTTAAGAACTATTTGGTTTAGTTTTGTAATTATTAATAGATAAATCAATGTTTGTGTGGACAAATTGAAACGAATTGAAACTTTTATACAAATTTCATAATATCCAAGCAAGTTTCTGCAAATAAGATACAGAATGTTTCTATAAACATGCACATTATTATTTTATTACTAGAAAATTAATAAACAAACACCAGATCATGATAATGCGAAGATGAATAATGAAGATTATAGAAATTTTGAGAATTAGGTATATTCGAATTTATATAATCAATTCACCAAAAGTTAACAAACTGAAAGTATTTAATTATACTAGAAATTAAAAACATTGTAAAGATTTCAACAATAAGATTTTTTACATTTTTTTATAATAAATATTTGAAAACTAAGCAATTTAGAACAATTATTTTCAATTAGAATTTATAGAATAAAATTCAAATATACAAGGGTTCTAACAAAAGTTTGCTGAAAAAACAAAAGTTGTTTCTCAATTTGTTAAAGTCTAACGATATTTCATGTCAAATTTGAAGATCGGATAGGAGAATATTGATGTAAGGTTGATAGAAATTCCACAACTAACACAGCAAAAATTTGTTTTGTCATTCTCTACGGATTTCGACGTCAACTCAAGCCTATGCAAAATTTCCAGGAATGCCAAAATGTATGAGTGAATGCATCATCCCTTGTGACTATTTCCAAGTAGTTTCAAAGATTTCAGACTGGACATTTTTCTGTGGAGGACGAACCTCGTGAAGGTTGCCCGAAATCTTCGTCCGATGATACAAATGTAGCCCTCGTGAAGGCAAACATTGACGAAGATCCAAGAGTGACACAGAAAATGGTAGTTGATGAACTGGGCGTGAATGCCATGGCTTTGTTGCAAATATGAAATCATCACTTTGGCTGCACGAAGAAATCTGCTCTATGTGTTCCACGATTATTAAATGACGACCATATAAAGGCACGTGTTCGTTTTGCCGAATATTTCTTGAAAAATTGTGAAAATGGAGATTCTAGCACTTTTAGTAAAATCGTAACAGGTGATGAATCTTGATTCTATAAGCTTGACTTGGAAACCAAGTAGCAGTCCATGGTATGGAGCGCAGAAGATGCAAATCCCCCAGTTAAAGCAAAACTGCAAAAATCAGCAACAAAAGTGATGATGTCGATTTAGATTTCCAGGGCAAAGGTGGTAGCTGCTATCTTACTCGAAACTGGTCAGAGGGTTACGGCTAAGTAGTACTCAGAAAGTTGCTTACCATAAGTTTTCAAAAATTTGTTGGGTAACCAGAAAAAAGGGAAACTTCGTCGCTACTTTTTACATCACGATCATGCACTGAAATAACCAATAACTTTCTTGCGCTCTCTGGCATCAATGAAATTCGCAAAGCACCTTATTCTACCGACCTAGCGCCTTGTGATTTCTGGCTGTTTCCGAAAGTAAAAAAATGAAGTAAAGAGTCTTTAGTTCCAATGAAGAAATCAATAATTAAAAGTGGAAAAGCTCCAAAATCCGATTTTGAGGAATTATTTGAAAGCTCTACTGACTTAAGAATTGTATTTAAATAAATGGAAATTAAGTAGAGAAATTACAAAAGGATGAAAATTAAAAATATTAAAATAAAATTATTTTGTTTTTCTCCATCCAACTTTACGAACTTTTGTTAGATCCCTCGTATTATAAAGATTTGAAATTAAAATAATATATTAAAATGATTTGGTTAACTTTTGTAATTACTAATAGATTTTTCAATGTCCACTTAAACAAATCACAAATACTTTGGACAACAGTTTAGGTGAATTTTTATAATATTTAAGCTATATTCTACAAATTTGCTGCGGAAGTTGTTAAAATCATGCACTTTGTATAAAAATTCCATATAGACTTTACTAATAGATAATAGATTATTTATTATCTAAATAAAATTATAACAAACGTCATTAGTGACTAAAAAAAAAACGATTGATAATAATTTTACATATGTTTATGCAACAATAGTAGCACTTAAAAAAATATAAATTTAGGTTGGTTATATAAATATGAATAAATATAAATAACAGTTTAATTAGTCATTAACAGAGTGTGCGGTTTTAGGCATTTCGACACCAAATAAAAGTTGGAAAACACTCGAATACAAAAAAAAAACAACAAAGAAAGTTAGGTAACAATAGAATAATTAATGACACATTTGACATTGAAAACTTCAGTTGAACAATTTATTACACAAGTGATTTGAACTTACCGCAAAAATTATGTTGAAGACAAACAGCAAGCATTTGGTGCATTTCAACCCGCACGTCTGCATGATTATGATGATAATTCTCAAGTTGCGTATCGTTTCTTTGCGGATTCTCCAGGTGAGTTTAACTGTTGTTGCTGTTTTACCGTCGCGCTTATACTAATAACATTCCCTAAAACTCTAATACGCATCGGACAGTGGACACTTCTTTCCGGAAGCGCCCATTGGACACTCTGCCGATTACAACAAATAGTTTCTACGGTGACGGCCAACTCTTAAACATCGCTTCTTAAACATACATCGTTAATACCCATTTTTTTCACCAGCTATTATCGTAAGCCCATTTCAAAATATTGTCAAAGTCAGTCATTTGTTTATCCAGGTAAATACCATGAAACTGTTATGAGTATACAAACTTGAGTTGTAGCCAAACGCGCATCAGATGTTGCTACAAGTAGATTTTAAAAGTAGGCTGAAAAGTACCTTTCTTTTATGTTTACCAGGTGAGCATTACGTAAGGTTATCAAGAAATTAAACTATAATTTTAACAATCAAACCTTGCTTTAACTTCATAAAATTAAGGATTTTTTTGTTGTACTATTAGATATTAATCTAGATAAGTAATAATTACAAGAATTTTACGGAAATTCTTCTATTATTTTGCTGTAAATATCATGAAAATGTTATTTGTAGATAGTGTTGGTTTTATTGAAGACATATTTCTCGTTTACGTGTATGCAAAATATAAAATTTGAAAATTATGCAATCGCTTTCATGCAAATTGATGGACGCACGCAACAAGCGCCGTCGCGGTTCAAAATTCCTCTTAAATCTGCAAGTCTTTTCGTGTTAAAAGAATATTTAAAAATTGTGCTCGTAAATCTGAAAAAAAATGTACAATTTTGGTCGTATATTTTCTCTTTACTAACAATAAATTTTACTTTAATTCCAATATTTTCTACTATTTTTATATTTATAATTTACTAAAAAAAATCACATAAATTAAACTAATATTATAATAACTTTCAGAAGTCAGTCGTTTTTATTAATTATATAAAAATAACTCTTAATAAGACAGTTTTAATAAAAGTTAATTTTGTTTTAAACTTAGGCTAAAAAAAATAAAGATTGAATTTCTATTGAATTGTTTTTGTTTGGTTCAGTAATGAAACTTATTCATAATTAACTGCAAAGCCATGTAAACAACGGTTGAAACTGCTTTCACGGTATTTCGTGTCAAAAGGTAAGGAAATCAATAATGCACGGTGCGAGGATTCCCATTTTACTGTTTACAAATACACTCGATTTTCTTGTTTTTTTTTTTCGTTATTGACTGAAACGTGTTAGAAACGAATAGAAAAATCGTCATATCTCAGTTATTAATTTACATTACGTAATTGTAGTTATAACAAAAGATACGCTATAGAAGATCTATTTTGATGTAAAAACAAAATATATAAAAATTAGGTAGTTTTAGAATTTGTTAGAAAAAAAAAATGTTTTTTCGGAAATTTTAATCAAAATTGAAATATTAATTCAAGAAATGTTAGAGTAGACTTACTGCAAATGTTGTGGTTAATATCCTTAATTGATTATGTAATTAGCATGCGTGGTTATTGAGTAATTAAATAAAAAGTGAAGAGAGTGCATTTTCAACTTTGACAGATTTGAAATCTACAAACATTTGATGATGCGAAAAATACAAAACTAGTAGTAGGCTTGTTGGAAAACCCAGAGTTTTGTTTTTAACATTCTTTTTCTAGAATGTAATTAGATTACGTGATTATCGAGTAATTAAATAAAATGTGAATTTCAACTTTGATAGATTTGACAATTACAAACATTTGATAATGTCTAACAGACAAACGGCGAAAAATACAAAACTAGTAGTAGGCTTGTTGGAAAACCCACAGTTTTGTTTTTAATATTATTATTCGATAATGTAATTAGATTACGTGGTTATCGAGTAATTAAATAAAAACTGAAGCGAGTGCATTTTCAACTTTGACAGTTTTGACAACTACAAACATTTGATGATGTCTAACAGACATATGGCGAAAAATACAAAACTATTAGTAGGTTTTTTTGGAAAGACCACAGTTTTGTTTTTAATATTTTTATTTGATAATATAATTAGATTACCTGGTTATCCAGTAATTAAATAAAATTTTCAGACAATACATTTTAAACTTTGACACCTTATAATAGATTAACGAAACATAACACAAATCTGTTAGTGCAATTATTAGAAAGGTCATAGTTTTAACTTTAATTTGCATATCTAATAATCTAAGTGCTTTTGCGTGGTCTTTGTGTAATTAAATAAAAGGTGAAGATACTCCGTTTCAACTTTGTCGTTTTATGGTCTCGTACGAGCATAGTGCATGTGTATGTATTGTCGAGTCATTATCCTAATCGATCCGGTCACACGTTTCTATGCTTTTCTGAGAATTTAATATACTGATCGACAGTGAAGTGTAACACTTCCAAATCGAAACGCATTGATCTTCAGGAATATTTGATATATAATATATTTGATTTATTTTATTCAGTCCTATGATATTCAATTTTATATAGCAATTGTGGGTGAATGCGGCTCTTCATTGAGCCAAATGCGGCTTCCATTAAAAATGTATTGCAATTACTTTAAATCTACGTGTGTCTCTTTATAATATATAAAAAACGGATTGCGGCTCACTTTGGCCTCAAGTGTGCCCACCCCTGTTATATAGGAATAAAATGTATAGTAATAATGGAAAAGTGGGAAATTATTTAAAAAAAACAGTCTGTGATGAATAAATTGTATTTTTATTTACATTTAAGTAATTGGAACATCTAAATTATTAATTTTATTTTATATTTTTTTTAACAAAACACACAACTACTCTACCCCTAAAGTATAATATGTCTCTGATAATGTTTTTTTTAACATGTTTTAAAGGATTTTACAAATGCTTTGTGCAAACGTCTCAATAAAATGTATACATAATCTAACATCAGTTATATTTCTTTTTTTTATGTATTAATTGAATATTGTTATTATAAATGCTACAAAAATAATTACAATGATAAGCAAACATTGAGATTTTTAAACTGATTTTACGTTCTACTCCTTTTTCTTGACTGCGACTGCCAACCAGCATGATAATATGATTCCAATCAACTAAAATTTGTATTTTTTTTTGGATTAATTTATTTGTTGTTGTTGTTGTTAATTTGTTTTTGTTACCTGTATGAAGGCGATTCCAATTCCAACTCCAATCAGGATCTTCGCGTTCGACTCGGCTTTCATCTTCAACTTGTCGAAACATCCATCGGAATACAGGATGTCTTCGCCTGGAAGAGCGGCCTGACAGTGGAAATCTTCAGGAGGTTGAGCACCTTCCCTCACCTTGTGACAGCAAGTGTACGGTCTTTGTTTTGCCGGCCAATCTGTTGGTCCTTCGATTCCGCAACACTCTAACTGTAAGTATACAAAATTTTTATAAATATTTGAAAATTCTAATATAAATTGCTTGAAAACTTGAAAGTAATGAGAAAATGTATTTAAGAAATTATGAGAATATTTAAATTATTTCACTAAACTTGGAAATTGTAAAACTTTTTATATCTTTTATTTTTACATAAGAATTGTGCATCTTTTGATATAACTGCTATTACTAATGTTAATTAATGATGGAAATGTGACGATTTTTATATTTATTTTTTGTCTTCACATTTTATTCAATCAATCGTAATTAGATTATTTAAAACGTAAATTAAAGATAAAAGTATGGCCTTTCCAATGGGTCTAATTTTAAATTTATAGCATATATCATAAGTTTGTCATAAGCTATCCAATATTATCATGAAAAGATGAGTTTTAAAAGAAGTGTCTTCACCTTTTATTTAATTACTGAATAACTACAAATGCTTATTATATAATTTAATGTCCATATTAACGATAAAACTATGATATTTCCAATTAGTATACTTAATAATTAGTACTGAATATTGTACGTTAGTTTAAGCTGTCAAAGTTGAAAATGCATTGTGTTCAATTTTTACGTAATTACTAGTTAACAAAAGATCGTAATTAGATTATTTCCAACGTAAATTAAAGATAAAGGTATTGGCTTTTCAATGATTCTAATTCTAAATTAATAGCATACATCATTTGTCTGCTATAAGCTATCAAATATGATCATGAAAAGATGAGTTTTAAGGAAGTGTCTTTCATTTAATTACTGGATGACCACAAATATTAATTATATAGTTGAATATCCATATTAAAGAAAAACTATGATCATTCCAATTAGTATATAAAAATTAGTAAGTTGTCAAAGTTGAAGATGTACTCTCTTCGCGTTTCATTAAATTACTCGATAATTACATCATCAAATAATAATATTAAACACAAAACTACGACCTTTCTAATAATTCTATTTTAAAATTATAAAACTATTTTAATATTGAATGAAATGTTTTAAAAATCCAGTTATCCAACGAGTCTTCACATTATATTTCTATTTTTATAGTAAAAATCTATTTTTATTCAAATTAATTAGATAATTTTCAAACTTTTTATATCTTTTATTTCTACATAAGCAGTAGTCTTCTATTGTGCATCATTTGATATAACTGCTATTAGGTAATGTTAATTAATCACCTAGATATGACTATTATGCTATATGTTTTCATGTCTTCACTTTTTATTCAATTACTCGTTAATAAAAAATAATAATTTTATTATTTTGAACCTGCATTAATGACTAAAGTATGACCTTTCCAATGAGTTTAATTTTAAATTCATAGTAAACATCATTATTCTCTTACTTTTAATTTAAAAAAAACTGACTTCACATTTTATTTAATTAATAAATAACCAAATTGTGCTAATTATATAATGGAATATCGATATTAAAGAAAAAACTATGATCTTTCTAATTAGTATACTTAAAAATTAGTACAAGTATATTCTACGTTTGGTATAAGTTGTCCAAGTTGAAAATGTACTGTTTCCACGTTTTATTAAATTACTCGATATGATATCATTAAATGTGAATAATAAATACAAAACAACGTCCAGTCCAATAAGTCTACTCTAACATTTTAAAAATATTTCAATTTTGAGTAAAATGTTCGTTTTTATTATTCCAATACATTTTCCTGTATGCTAATTTATATAATGTAGATTGGTAAGAAATAACTTTAAGGTGTTCTCAGTATGTACTTACTTTGGTTTGAAGATTATCCCAAGAGATGCGATCGACTTTGCTATCGTAGTATTGCCCCATAGAAGTTTTCATCGAATCTTTCATTATCATCTGGAAATCGTGCTTGTATACCGCCGCTGCTATACCAACTGCAAGCTCGATTATGAAAATAATCAGAAGCAGAACAGCAAACTGAAATAGTAAAAAAAATCGAAACAGAATTTGAAATAAACAAGAATTTAAGTGTGTAAACTTACGCCCATTAACATATGGTAATTTTCTCTAATCGCGCCGAAACATCCCAGGAATGCAACGATGAAGACTATAGAACCTGCAACGATCAGGACAATCGGCGGAGCGATTATCCTTCCCTCCATAAAGTGTCGGTACTCGCCGACATCCGCAAGGACGACACATCCTACGACGATTAACGCAATCCCAGATATCTAAATTAGAATCAAAATTCATTTAAAAATAGAACACGAATTGAATAATTTATGAAGCGACGAATTTGGTGGAAGAAAATATATAATAATTGTCCGTGCGTGGATCAAGTATAGGTCATCACCCCCTTGATAAAGTATTGAATTATTCGTATTTTAAGCAGTTCAGTTAATCACACACAAAAAAACGACAATAATAGCAGAGAAACGGTGAAATCAATAAGACCCCCAATAATCACCTGCGCATCGTCAATCATGTAAATTGGATGTATTTTATTATTGAAAGGCTTAAGAGTAAATACGACAATTTATATTTTTTTTGTGTATACAATAATTCTTCTATTAGTCAACAATTTGTTGGTGTTAACTCAATCAAAACATGTTGTTTTAATTATTTAATAGCTAAAATTTTAGTAGTCAGGTTTTTTTAAGTAGTTTTCTAATTAATTAATAGCCTAATTATCATTATAATTAGTAATTAGTTATGATCTCATTTTGCTGTAGAATTACTTTTTTTACTAATTTTTCAATTAATTTATAAATAAATTCAATTTTTATTAAGAAATTTGTCATTTCTTGTAAAAAAATATAAAATTTAAAAAATGCAATTAGTATAAAGACGTAATTTATAATTTGATTAAAAAAATAATAAATTTGTTATTAAAAAGTTTATGTAATTACAAATTATTTAAAAAAGAAATGAATTTAATCAAATAAATTTTATTGTACTTACAGCAAACACGAGATTGAAAAGAAACAAAATGTATTTAACAAATTTCACGTCGCAATTCTTCATCTTTTTAACCCCCAAAAGCAAACTCTCGTGAATATATTAACAAAAACAATTGGATAAATTCAATTTGTTTAGGAAAATAGTCGTTGTTTGTGCGGTCTCTGCTCGCGAACTTTTCAACTGTGACTGAAATAGGGGTAGGTTGTGAAACTCGAACATAAGTTCTCTCTTGTTCCTTTCTTCTGTTTTTTTCTTTCTATTCTCTCTACATAGTTATGAAGGAAGGCTCTGATCGAGATCGCGCCTTCCATTGGTCCGTCCTATATGTTTCCATGGTTAAAACCATGGATACGGCTTTTATGTGAGCCTCGGACTTTTGAAAATGTGCGTGTGTTCCCCTCACCCATACCCTTTCTCTACAATCGTTACGTTTTTCTCTCCCTCGCAGTCATCTTAATTACCTTCCACCGCTAAAGTAAGAAAAAATACACACACAAAACTTTATTTTTTATTCCATTAAATCGAAACAGATTTAATTAACGTCGTTTATTTATAAAGTGAAATGCGATTTTTTTTTAATTATTTTACTATTATTAAACTATTGCAAATAATACTTTTTTTTAGTCTAATAAATCTTTACATCAAAACGATTGAGTTTTTAACATTATTTTATTTAATTTGAACAAATATTTGTGTTTCAACATTTAACCATTTTTTTAAGCAATTAACTAAATTTTGTTCTAATTGTTAAATTAAAACGAAAAAACTGAATAGAATAATGAGTTAATTAGGCGGTGAAATGAACTTTATTTAATTAAAAACTTAAATTATGATTTTTTTTTTAATTCATAACGAAACTATGAATGAAAATTAAGCTAGTTAAGTAATACATTTTTTTAATTTAATAAATCTTTCGACTTTTATGTGCAATTAACTAGATGAAGATTTTAAAATAAAAATAAACTAATAATTACATACATTAATCATTGTATTTTTTTATTGAACTGAAACGAAAAATAATTAAAGTAAAATTATAATTTAAAAAAAAAGCGAATTTTCTTGATAATTTGAACAAAAAGGTATAATAAACTTAATTGAATGAAGATTTCAATTAAAAGTTTCATTGAAGTTTTAACCAATTTTTTTTTTAATCAATTAAATAAACAAAGAAAATTGTTCAATTTAAACAAATCTTTGTCTTCGTAATTGAAAAAAAAAACGTAATTACTCCATGAAATGAATATTCATAATAATTTCAATTGACTTTTAAGTGGAAATAATATAATTTTTAAGTTGAATAAACATTTGTTGTTAATTTGAACCAAAATTTAATGAAGTAATGTATTTATTTTGTTTATAAGAAATGTAATTTGTTTTTATTTGTACCCGGCTCATCCACCAAATAATTACAACCATAATCCCGACAGTCGAAATCCCTACTATATTAAAATCACGACTGTATCGAATTCCCGACGTTCGATATAGTCGGGATTTTGATTGTCGGTATTTCGAACGTCGGGATTTCGATTGCCATGTAACAGAAAACAATAAATTCCTTCATTACCTTATATAAAATAGACTTGAATATGCATACAACTTATATAAACCGATGATATGTAATTACTTGTCTCTGTTGCAGCACGAATGGAATAAATAATTGAAATGGATTAAATTGCAGCGGAAAGACAACATCTGGAAAGGTAATAACTTATTACTCATTACCCTACAAATCGTTTTCCCACGCTCATAAATAATTTCTTATAAAACATCCTCAAAACTATGAAATCCTCCATTAATTAGTTACAAATTTTTCATAGCAGACACGTCGGTCGATGACGCAACTCGCTTTGTTTTTTCTCTTTTTGTTACGCAATTTGCTTAGTGTTTCCGTGCAAATGTCGTCGTTATTGTGGAGATTCCGAAAGGAAGGTCGGAATTGAAAATTAATTTCGTTCCTGCACGACACCTTTTCGCTCATTGTTGACGCTCACTCCAACGCTAGTTCCCTTTGCCTTTCGTGACATTAAGGGTTGATTTGTATTAGAATTTACAACGCGCACATTAAGGGCGAATCTTTTGGATGCACGAAATCGGGCTTCTTTAAGCTCTTGATGCGTCATAAATCATGCAACGCGATTTCGTATTAAGATAAGAGTATGAAGTCATGTTTTATATGTGGAAAACTTTTGTACGTTTCGTGGAAAAGGTTTTTTTGTTTATTTACATAAAAAAAAGTGTATGTAATAAAGTGTTTTCTTTTAGAAATATATTCGTGGAATTATGGATAGAAAACTGTATTATAACATGATTTATTAATCACTCTTATTTAATTCTTAACTAAATATAATAATTTATTTATTGCACTATTAAATTCTTAATTATTTACACTTCTGCTCTATACTATATAATGTATACTCTATAAGTTTGACAAACTTAACCTAATTCAGATAACTTATCAAATCTACTAAGGAACAAACAAATAGTAGTAAGAAACTTCAAAATTGTGTCATCTACAAAACGGTTGAAGTAACCATAGCAACAATGAAACTTATTAAGATGGCCGGCATAAGTGGTTGAATCAGGACACTTGATCCTTCAGTTCTGTAAACGAAAACAAAACAATAATTAAAAAAAAAGATAATCAACGTAAATAAATAAATAAAAACTGATAATATATTATTATAAAATATGAAAATTCTTTTATTTTGGTCAAAGTTTATTGATCTGTCATTCATTAAGTATTGTTTTTTTTCATTAAATTTAATCTCAATTAATGGGATTTTCCAAAAACCAAATAATATACAGTTTTTTTTTTGGGAAATTCCAAACTCGTGGAATTGACGAAAATAATAAACACAATAATAAAATGTTATTCAGATGAGTAGATTATCAAGCACTAAATTTTCGAATTGCGCATCAAATTTATATTTAGAATTTTAAAGTCGTTAACTATTTTTAAAGCTGAAGGAAAAACCGCAGTTCGGGAAAATAACAAATTGAAGATATTTTCTGAATCGTGTTTTATATAATTTAAAAAAAAAAGTATTCTGGAAATTGTAGAAATTTGTAAACAATATAGTATTTTATTTCTATAATTCTAATTAGTGATGTTGTTATGATTATGATTAAGCTTTGACGTAAATATTTTAGTTATTGAATCACTTTGTTATGATTTTTTTTGTTTATATTTATCAGTTCAGTTATATACAAAGTTAATAATCACATAAACAAAAACGATATTAATGGAATGGAATTTTTCAAGATTTAATATTGAATCAAAATAATTCTCAAATTATTATTTACGCTTTGATACAAATATTTTTGTTATTTCGTTTTTCTTTTTTAATATTTTTTTTATATTTATCAGTTTATGTAATATTCTGTAAGTAATAGATTTTTAATGATTAATTAAAAGAATAAAATTAATTGCTTTCAACTATTAAAGACACGTTGATTTTCATAATAGATACTTTATTTATCATTTGCACAGTGACGTAACAAATGTCAATTTGATATAACGAGTGTCAATTTGACATTATACAATAGAACGTATATTTAGACTTTGTGTATTTAGTAAATGTTTTGTTGATAGAAGCATAAATTAACAAATTTTTGATAATGAGTTATTGTTGTACTAGAGGAAACATTGTCTTCAAAATAAATTATTTTCATAATAACCGTAATATAATACCGTAACCGTAATATAATAATATTTATTATTTACATTTTGACATAACAAATGTCAATTTGACATTATATAATAGAACGTATATTTAGACTTTGATTGTGTGTTTGTAAAAGTAAATGTTTTGTTGATAAAAGCAATAAATTAACAAATTTTGATAATGTGTTATTGTTCTACTAGAGGAAACATTGCCTTCAATATAAATTATTTTCATAATAATCATATCAAATAATATATATCATTTGCATTACGTAACAAATATCAATTTGACGTAACAAGTGTCAATTTGACATTACACAATAGAATGTATATTTAGAATTTGATTGTGTATTTAGTAAATGTTTTGTTGATAAAAGCAGTAAATTAACAATATTTCATTATGTGTTATTGAGGTCGGCAAACTCTTGAGATAGAAGAGCCAAACCTCTCTCTTATAAAATTAATAAATTATTTGACAAACGTTTAATGTGGTCAATCTTGTCTCCCTAAGCAAAATACAAAAATTATTCGAGTGTTAATATACTTTTTACCAAATTGCGTTTAAACATTTTGTTTTCATTTTCAAATTTAATTTATTGCCACATGTAAGAGCCAAAGAGCCGCATGTGGCTCGCGACTCGCACTTTTCCGACCCCTGTACTATTGCCTTCAACGTAATCATAGCAAATAATATTTGTTATTTGCATTCTGATGTAACAAATGTCAATTTGACATTATACAATAGAATCTATATTAATATAAATTAATTTATTATGTGTTGTACTGAAGGAAACTTTGTCTTCAACACAGATTATTTTCATCATTATCATTTGTATTCTAACATAACAAATGTCAATTTAACATTATACATAAGAACGCATATTTATAACATGATCGTGATATTCAATATGCAGGATGAGTGAGTAAATGTTTTTGTTTATAAGCAAATTATGGTATTACGTGTTATTGTTGTACTGGAGGAAGCAAAGCGAATCGAATGAATAAAGGTGAGAACAACACACAAATAAAAAATAATAATAAGACAAATAAAACATAAAAACAATCATCTTTTTTGTAAGTTTAATTAAATAACATGTTTTATAAATTAATGATGTGGTAGAGGTACAAGAATAAAATGTTGAGATATTTACGCTCTTCCGATAACACCGCATCCAACGCGACCTCCCGCGTTTCCGGTGGTAAGGGTATCGTTGCCTTCACCCTGACCTAAGTCATCTTCACCGCTGTGCACAACGACAGCCCTTCCAATGATGTTATTATCACCGTCCAAAGAGATAACGTTGTCGAACATCGAGATTTTCGCAACGCCGTTCTCGTCCGCAACGATGTTACCTAAATCTCCGACGTGCCTGATATTGGAATCCGGAGCTCCGTGCGGTTTCTGCAAACAAGAATAAATAACGAAAACTTCAAAAACTTTCCACCGTGCGTTTCGCATTCGACTATTCAAGGTTGTGTTTATATTGGCGCGCATTTTCCATGGCTTACGTAACTATTTTAATGCGACGATTGTATTTTTTTGAATCTATATCAAAATCCCGACAATCAAATTACCGACATTCCAAATTCCGACAGTATCAAAATCCCGACAACGATAATTCAGACAGTACCAAAATCCCAAAAATGTTGGCCTTAACAATAAGAAATAATCTAAAATACTATTAGATTATTAATTGTTGTTATTTATGGTAATAACAACGCTGTCGGGATTTAGAATGTCGGTATTTTGATTGTTGGGTTTTCGGATTTTTTTTTTTAATATTGTTATAATTACCTTATGTGGATTGAAGTGACCTTTGGTGGATGCGCAACCATTGCTAAGATCACCCAACTGATGGATGTGGAAACCATGTTTTCCCTGTATTAAACCTTCGATCTGTCCTTCGATTTCAATCCCTTTTCCTGACTTCTTGAATGTAACTAAACCACTGACTTTATTATCGGATCCTGTGATCTTGACTGTAGCCAAATCCTTTATTTTTTTGTTACAAAAATATTATAAAAATCTAAAATTTATTCAAATTATATTACTCTTACCTCGGCTAAAACGACTGTCGCTAGGACCAGGAATACTGCGGTTCGGATCATCCTCGTATCTGCAATGGATTGAGAGAAGTTCGTGTGTGTGTTTTACTATAGTTTATATTGGCCAAGGGGATTAGTGAAAGTGCGAACGGTTTCGTTTCATTCACACGTATAAATAAACATTAGCTCGTTTAAGCCGTCTTATATACACGCAGAAAAGCGAGATGCAATTAAACCGGTTTAGTTCTTATAAAACCGTCGACACAATAACAACAAATATCGCAGCGAGACGTGGTATTATTACACGTTGATCATCCAAAGTGGGATAGTTTCTTTGTGCTTGTAAACACATTGATTAATCGAACAAAAGACTGCTGCATGGAAAGTTTATTTTCTCACTTTCAATTAGAATCCCATTAATCTGTTAAACTAGAATGGGTTTCTATACAATCTACAGTTATTTCTTTATTTTCTTCAACAATGTTTAAAAAATGCATTTAAAATGCAGCAAGAAATAAACGATACACAAAATTTTAGTTTACATTTTTCACTTACTATTATTGATATTTAAATTACAAAAAAAATGAAATAGATTTCACATAATTGTAAATATTAATTATTTTATGTTAAACGCAAAAGGATACTTTATTTTTATTTTATTATAGGAATGATATTACTTAATAAGTATATATATTTGAAAACAAAAAGATTTTTGTTGCTAATAAAAATTCAGGGTGAAATTCTAAACCAGAGTTGTGGGAGTGGGACACAAAATGACAACTGTCACCTTATGTCAAAACCGCAAAAATTAAAGATTATAAACAATTGGTATGAAAAACAATAGTCGTTATATTTTAAGCGGGACACAAAATGACAGCTGTCTCCTTATATCAAAATCACAAAAGATAAATGTTATAAACAATCGGTATGAAAAACAATAGTTGTTACATTTTAAGTGGGACACAAAATGACAGCTGTCACCTTATGTCAAAACCACAAAAGATAAATATTATAAACAATTAGTATGAAAAACAATAGCCGATACCAAAACATATTTTGAGTGGGACACAAAATGACAGCTGTCATCTTAAGTTAAAACCGCAAAGAATAAATATTATAAACAATCGGTATGAAAAACCATAGTCGATACCAAAATATATATTTTAAGTGGGACACAGCTATCACCATATGTCAAAATCACAAAAGATAAATATTATAAACAATTGGTATGAAAAACAATAGCCGATACCAAAAT